TAATGTAAGTGGAATGACTGTCAGCTTTTGTCAGTTAAATTAATCTGTTATTTAGAATTACATGCATGTTTTCCTCTGTTTGTCTGGATTTTACAGGAGACTGGTTCTGAGGGAAGTGATATGGAATCACATGAATATGAAAAGAATCACAGCTCAGATGTGTCTCATAAAAGTGATTACTGCAGTCAGACTGGCCACTTGGTAAACCATCATGCACATGGAAATAAAACCAATAACAGCACAGAAAGTCTACATTCAAATGACGACTGCAATCAGATTATTGTGAGTTCCACCCGCACTGACTCTTCCATACTGTCATCACCTTCAGCCTGCTGTTCTATTGTACATTATTAATGTTTTGTATTTTTTCAGGTATCGGACGATGAAGATATCTTGAATTGTTCTGACACTGTTGTTTGTAATTTGGACGAGAATAATGTAAGTGAAATGCCTGTCCGTTTTTTTCATGTTAAATTGTTAATTATTGCCTCATGTGTAATTATGTACTCATTCCCATCAAATTTGTGTGTGCTTACTTCACAGGAGAATCGTGCCGATGAAGATGATGTGGATGAATTTATTTCACCAAGAGAATCTAGTGAGGAAGAGAGTGATGATGGAGACAGTGATGATCCAGACGAACCAGACGATCCTGACGATCCTGACCCAGACAGAGATCCTCCTGCTGACAACCTCGGATTAGGCAATGGAGATGTTGTGGAAGCTGACAACAGACCTTTCTTCTCATTTGAAAACCCAAGATTAAACCGTGTTTTGCAATTGGGATTTGACTGCACTGTCCGTGAAGCTGTTGCCATGATAGCAGCTCTTGCTGTCCGTTACAACATGGAATACGATTTGCTGGTCAAAATGTTTCGGGTGTCTAATATAATGCTAGGAGAAGCACAACTTCCATCAACAAAAGACCAGCTTTGGAGCATTCTCAACAGACAATCATCAGTATCGAGGAGACATGCCTACTGCAGTGTATGCAACAGGGAATTAGGATTGTATGATACTCTAGAAAGAATAGTTGCATGCCAGTGTGGCAGCATTAAACCAAGAAAGAAGATTAAATACTTCATTACGCTCAGTCTGACACAACAACTTAAAAGGTGTCTTGAACTCCCTGGAATGTGGGAGAAACTGCAATATCGCGAAGAAAGAAGAATAATTAATGAAGGCGCTTGGGAAGATATTTGTGATGGTGATAGATACATTCAGCTAAGCATGAGGGATGGAGGATTGCAGGAACCTTATGATTTTACCTACAACTTCAACTTGGACGGATTTAAAATGACTAAATCATCAAACAGGGAAGGGACTCCTATTTTTATTAGACTCAATGAAGCTCACCCCAACTATAGACAACAGTTTGTATTTCTCGCTGGTCTTTGGGTCGACGATAGTCCTCCCATTCTCCATTTATTTCTAAATAGGTTTATTGGGGAATGTAACGTATTGTCCACTGTTGGTGTTGCTTGGAATCAACCAGGAGGTCAGAATGTTGTAAGCAAGTTCTTCCCAGCTGCTTGTTGTGTAGATGCTGTTGAGCGAGCAAAGCTCATGTGCCACTCACCTCACTCAGGACCTTTTGCATGCCCCTTTTGCAACCAGGAAGGTGTTCATATCAACGCCAGAAAATTCCCATTGCCTGGCACAGAATTTGACATCATGAGGAGACGTCAAAATCAGGATTATGCTGTCCATGTTGTTGTCCCTCAGGCTGAACTCCGAACTGATGCAACAACTAGGCGTGCTATGGAGCAAGTTGAAAATGCCCAGCAAGTGGGACAAGAACTCAATATAGAAGGTGTGGTAGGTTCATCAGAACTGAAAAATCTCACATTTTTTGATTTGGTGGACAGTCTATCAAGTGATGATCTCCACCCAATTTACTTAGGATGTGCAGCTTTTCATATGAAGCTAATACTAAGAAGACTAAATCCACATGAAATAAATGCTATCAGTGGAAGATTAAGAGCCATCAAGTGCCCCACCAACATTTCTAGGAAGCCGAGGAACATTGGAAAAAAGAAGAGTTTAAAGGGTTCAGAGTGGGAGCATATTCTACTATACTTCGGAGTTCCTTGCATGCAAGGAATTGTACAGCCTGAGAAAATAACTCTTTTTGGTCTTTTGTCCTCAGCTATTTACATTCTCTCAAGAGACTCAATTACCGAGCAGAACTTCCAAACTGCTGACAGGCTTATACGCCTTTATATGATCCGCTTCCAGAATACCTATGGGCCCATCAATATGCGTTTTAATATCCACATGCTTTCTCACTTAGTAAAAGTTTGCAGGAGTTGGGGTCCATTGTTTGTGCACAGCACCGCTCCATTTGAATCTTACAACTGCATTTTGGGGAAAAAGGTCACATCTCCAAAGGCTGCTGCAGACCAAATAGTACAGAGATACTTTTTGAAATCTCTCATAGCTGAAGTTCCTGGATCACCAGACATCAGCCCAGTTGTGAAGGAAGAGGTAGCTTTTATAATGCAGAAAGATGTAAGCAGACCCACAGTGGTGGTTGGGAGCAGCAAACTGTACGGACGTGTAACAGCAAGAGAGACTACTGTGGAAGAAAGGCAAGCATTAATGGACGAAGGGTTAGATGCTATCCAGCTTCAAGAATTTGTTAAAATGAAGTACAATTTCTTTGAGTTTCGATCAATTAATTACAATCCAAATGAAGACATCCGTTCCGACAATAGCTTAATTTACACATTTCAAAATTTTTTTGGTCGTATTTTATCCATTGTCAGTATAGGAGAAGGCGACAATAAAATTGTTGGACTCTTTGTGGAACGGTATAATGTTGGAGAACGTCTGTCTGGAGTTCACCACATTGTGCAGCTCCTTGACAGGGCTGACATTCACTTCATCAGACCTCACGATGTAAGGAATTTGGCAATTAAAGTAATTATTGGTAATGTTAGCTTTATCATGGCTATGGCAAATAACTCTGAAATAGATTGAGTGTCACTTTGCAAGTTCTGTTGAATTCTTCATATGTTGCTGTTGTCATCTATGCAATAATTTATCTGTTTTGTTTATAGTCTGAAATTTAGTCTGAAATTTAGGTATCATTTGAGGAAGTGTGCTTTTAAGTTCCCTTTCCACTTCCTGACACAGTATGTGCTGTGCAACTTAATTCCTGAATGTTAATTTGAAGTGTAATTGTCAGCAGATTAGTATACACTTTCTTTTTATCAGAGATTATTGTTGTGATGACGTTTCTTTATTGGTATATTCATTTGTTGTTTAAACTTAGTTCAAAAGTGTTCTGTGATATAACTAGATATTGATCTATTTGAGAAAACTACTAACGCCTGACTGATTTGATTATTTTTAAATGAAGGAGTTACTTTGGATGTACAAACATTAGTTTATTAAAACATCAGCTTGAAAACTCCCAACAAAATTCTTTATTGCTTCTTCTTGTCTTTTTGTTGGTCACCTCACATTCATACATGTTGAAAGTTCTTAAACACTAAGAGACCAAAAGATAATTTACACTGCTCTGCTAACACCAGCTGCCACGAACTGTGGGGTGCATATGTTCAGGGGTTTTGTATGACAATGTACCTACCTACCTGGCAGCTTTCCTAAAGGGCTGAATTAGGGGATGATTTAGGCCAAGCACCCCCCCCCCCCTTAAAAGCGCGCCTGGCGTGGTAGGTAATACTAGCTACTACCTCATGTGTACTACATCAAATCTGTAGTACGTCAGAAATTGTGACATCAGCAAAGTGAAAGTTGTTCTTAATGAATGTTTAAAAGTGGTAGGGGAAAATAATGACCCCTTCGGTTCCCCTGGGGTCAGGGGACGACAAAGAAGGGGCAGGGACAGATCGGGACAGCGCAGGGTAGCGTCGGTGGGGACGGGGGAGGACGTCGGATGGACAGGGACAGATCGGGACAGCGCAGGGTAGCGTCGGCGGGGACGGAAAAGAATGTCAGAGTGGCAGGGACAGATCGGGACAGCGCAGGGTAGCGTCGGTGGGGACGGAAAAGGATGTCAGAGGGTCAAGGACAGATCGGGAAAGCGCAGGGAGGGGACGGGGGAGGACGTCAGATGGACAGGGACAGATCGGGACAGCGCAGGGTAGCGTCGGCGGGGACGGGAAAGGAAGTCAGAGGGGCAAGGACAGATCGGGACAGCGCAGGGAGGGGACGGGGAAGGACGTCGGATGGACAGGGACAGATCGGGACAGCGCAGGGTAGCGTCGGCGGGAACGGGAAAGGATGTCAGAGGGGCAGGGACAGATCGGGACAGCGCAGGGTAGCGTCGGCGGGGACGGAAAAGGAAGTCAGAGGGTCAAGGACAGATCGGGACAGCGCAGGGAGGGGACGGGGGAGGACGTCGGATGGACAGGGACAGATCGGGACAGGGTAGGGTAGCGTCGGCGGGGACGG